TAGTACATTGTTTAATGTAGGTCAAAGTCTTTGTGGAATCTTCAGTGTACATATTTGTCTTGCATATCAATAACAACTTGTCGCGAAATATTCCTGACTATTTAGGACACAACACAAATATTGATTTCTCACTCTCGGAGGTCAGTCCTTCAATCCGTCCTAATCGGGAGCGAACTTTCTGTTTCGAAGATCTTGCAGATTACATTAATACCATAATAATAAATGAAATCGTCTCGACTTTTGTCTGGTCTGGTGTAGTCATCGTCAGTATCGATTTCGACATCCCGAGTTTAAATGAGTCTCTGCCAGAGGCCGCCACATTGACTCGACTAAATTATGGTGGCAGCGGTGGGAGAAGAAAAAAAGCAAGCAAACTATAAACATCAACTGATAACATTCTTTTCTGTCTGGGTCATGTGTGGATTGTAGATTGTCCGACACTTTTTACTGGAAAAATGTAGAACGGACGAGTACAGAGACAGTCGGACACTGAAAACTTCGTACTGAACATAATCGTATTTCATTGTATTCTAAACAGCACAGAAAATTTAATCATAAAAACATTGCGAATTGACAGTTGTCAATGTTTCTGGAAACTTTGAGATAAATTTATTTATCAAGATCCTACAGCAATTTGTAGTCGAAAAATTAGTCATGAATCAGAATTTTCTGTTTTTTATTATCTTAAAATGATATCATAGGTTGTATTTTTAGAATAGTCTATGGAGGTTTATTTTGAGGTCTTTTTAGAGAAATTAATTTTAGTTATAGGGGAAATACGGACAAAATAGCATATATGGACATAGTGGTCTTATTTAAAAATTGGCTAGGACGAAAAGTCACAGAACTACAGGTTAGTTCATCCCAAAAAGAGAAAGTTGTAACCTCAAAGCTGATTGACTTTTAATTTCCACTCTATCTCTAAAAACAGACCAAAGGATCCACCAATAAAAGGGAGCCTCTTCAATTGTCTTCTTAAAAATTAGTATCTCAGTATATTCATAAAGAGATTTACGATCAATATAAAGATTTATATTCGTATTGATTCTCTAAAAATCACATGTTACATCTAGAAGTTTGCAAGTTTTATTGAGAACATATGAAAGTTTTATTGAAAGAAAGTTTTTCAGTTTAACTCTTATTATCTTCTAATAATCGAATGAATCCCTAAAAAACCTTTTTGCTTCACCATTATATAACTTTTACCCTATAAAAACTAAAAAGTTTTTTGAGAGTATTTTGAATGTTTCGAAACATTAATAAATAAATAAATACGAAATATTTCGAAAAACATTAATAAATAAATTTTTTATTTGCGTAGTTTTATTGTTAATCAAAATAATATACATTTTTTAAGACAATAAATGGATGAATACGAAATATTTAAAAACCACGATAAGTTAGAAATCTACTTCGATCAGTTTGATATCAAGCAGCAGTAAAATTAAAATAATAAAAAGGTTCAAATATTGTTGAAAACTTTTGAAATCTCTTGATAAATATTTGGTTTAAAAATAGTGTCTTTTTTGAAAAATTAGAATTTTTCAAAATTTACATAGAGAAGACATAGTTCTGATTTGTATCTAAATATAATAAGAAGTTAAAAATCATAATTTCAATAATAAAAAAGCAACAAGAAAAAAATTAAAGGGCTGTTCTATGTAAAATCATGTCCCAAGTAAAAATTTTCATTTTAAATTTTATGTGTATGAATTTTATATACATGATTTTGCATTAAAAATTAAATACATATACTATTTTATTTATAGAAATAAAAATTACTATTTTATTATGAAATAAATAAAACGTGGTATTCGATGTTAAGGATAAATAAAATTTATATTAAATTTAGCTTAAGTTAAATTCGTCAATTTTAACTAAAGTTAAATTTAAATAAAGTTAAAATCATCAATTTGCAAAATAGACTCAAAATAAAAATCAATTTGCAAAGAAGTACATTTCACAATTGATGCCGTATCATAGAATTTACAAAAATGATAGATTAGTGTCTCTAATCTCACATTTTTTGTAAATTTTGTCTAGCTCCAAATCGACCTTATCTTACTTTTAACACTAAATCCAAATTATCGTCACTTGAAAAAAACGATTACGAAGTTTTAGAAACGATCAAAACATATTTTTGCAAATTTATATATATATATATATATATATATATATATATACTTATATATATATATATATATATATATATATAAATGTAAATGTGTGTGTACCATGTGTATACTTTAAGTAATATAACTGTGAACATAAGCAAGTTGTATGTTTTGTCTAGAGAGCGATAGTGTAAGGTCCTGACCTTACCAACACTCGTTTAAGTGCCACTGTGCGATACTTTTGAATAATATAAATATAAATTTTATTTAATTTATATTTACATATATATATATATATATATATTTATATACAGTAGAATCCGATTAGTATGACGCCGGATATATTGACAACCGCTTATTATGACGTAATTTTAAAGGCAGTTTGGTTTCCATATAAAATTTCTCAAAAAAACAGCTGTTTAGTCGGATATGTTGACCTCGCTTACATTGACATTTCGCTTATAATGACCCATTTTTGAAAAAAAATTTGGTCCAAGTATAATGACCGACATGATTTTACACCTCCGATAACATAGAGTTCATGTTTTTCATTGCACATTGTTATGGTATGGCACCACTGTGAACTACCCTTGTGTGTCAGGTCGCTACATACCTTCAGGTCTCTATGTTGCACGAGATTCGCGCTATGGAAACTTTGGCAACTTCCGGCATGGACGACCTCGTGCAAAAATAAGTAGGCTCATTCTTGGTGTTCGAAATTTGGAAGCGATAACATCTGCTATAATTTACTGAATTAGTAAAGTTCTATATTTTTACTATTTTTACCCAGTAATTAAAATTCAAACGAAAATTACAGATTTCTTACATTAAAAAATGCATTGTTATGTCATATTTTAATTAAATTTGTCAATTTGTTTATATGTGTCATTTTTTACCTTAATTTTTGTATTAAATTACCGAAATTAATAACATATTCGCCAAAAATTGTTTTTTTTTTCAGTACGCTTAGTATGACGACCGCTTAGTATGACCATTTTTCGCCGTCCCTTGAATGTCATACTAAGCGGATTCTACTGTATATATATATACTACATGACCCGACAAACGTTGTCCTTTTGTCATTTTTGTCATTTATTTCTACAATATTACTATGGTTTTATTGTTCATTAAATTTTAAAAATTTCCTTTGACAAACTCTAAAAAGATTTATCAAAATCCGAATAACCGTTTAGGAGAAGTATCAAATCATACACCCGTACAGAAGAATTTTATATCTTATATATAAAAATAGAGCTCTCGATCAAATGATCCGCTAAAACTCGAAAACGGCTAAACCGATTTGGCCAGTTTTAGTCTTGAAAAATTCGTGCTAATCAGTAGGTTGTCGGAAAGGTGAGATATTATTTCAAAATCGCGTAGAAACTTTACATTTTTAATTTGAACATTTTTGTAGAAGCGTAATTTAAATAAAACAATGGACGGTGGCTAATACGTCAAATGTCAAACGTTTTTGACAGATGAATATTATTTAGTGAATATTATTTAGTTATGATTAAATTGTAGTAATTAGTAACAGATCGCAAGTATTACTAGAAACTCAAAATGTCAACTTTTTTGAAATGTTAATATGAAAATGCACTTTTTGGCGCATTTTTCTCAAACACGGTGCTCTGAAAGATCTCATTTGTATAATTATATACTCATTGGTATTTATAAAACATTTTCTAGGTTATATTATTTTTTTATTTATGTTATTTAAATTCAGAACCTAAATTTGGTATCGATCAAAGAGACATTTTGCCGAATAACATTTTCCCAGTTATAATTTCCCAGAATTTATCGAAGAATAGATAGTAATATACGAAGGTCCGGGGTTAAAAAGGTTCACCACCGTTGTGTAAAAAACCAGTAAAGTTAAGCATTGTTTAACAACGATATTTGCAAGTAGAGGGCAAAAGATGTATAGTATAATCAGCTATAACCTTGATTCTTATGACTTTGCTATCGGGAGATGAACGGTAATCTTTGAAAATCCATAATGAAAGTATTTTCTTCCGTTGGTAGTTTTTTAGCATTAGTTAAAAGTGTAATTGTTTTGTGAAATACCTTTAAAATGAAAATAAGACATTAAACCTGTTTGCCATCTGTCCGTTCTAAGTTACCCCGCCTATAGGGTAAAAAGATCAAGATAACAAATTTTTGAAAGACATAAAAAAAGCACATTTCTACAATGATGAAGTAGGTGACAGATTTACTGAACGTAGTCAGATAATTGTTCGTTTGCAATGTGTTATTTGTTGTGATATAATTGTTTTGGTTTTCACAATATAATTAATATTTGTTCAATGTCAAATTGGACCTTTGTGCCTCGCTCTGCTCTGCAAATATACTTTTTATTAAATTTACTTAAACTCATCGAATGTTACTTGAAACTTTTAAAGAAGGAGGTCAAAGACGAAATGCTTAATTCATTTTCTATCTCTCCTCGCAGAAATTTGAAAATTTTGTATAAGCTCAGTAGTATTATTTACAATTATACACAAAATCCAGAATCCAAAAAGAATCTGAAAAACTGGAAACGTAATCAATAAGTCTAAAGACCAGAAATGACTTGAATTAATTGAACCATGGATTGAATTAATTATACCATGTTTTCTATGGAAAGTGTATAAATCATCCAGTTTGATTGTATTGACAAAATATAGACAAACTAATGGGGTTTATTGTTTTTATAATAATTCATTGTATATAGCATTCAAACAACCAACACATCCTTATACAATTGAAGTATTAATATTTCTGATTCTCTAGAAATTGTTTTGAATATACCTTACTTAGCAAAACGACGTTTGCCGGGTCGGCTAGTATATATATACATATATGTCAATTGCAATTTTGACTAAATTTCAATTTCTCCTTTCCCAGATGCTCTCGGTACAGTCACCGAGCACGGCCGGCATGGACCGTCTCATCGGAACCTCCATAGGAACCTCCAACGGCGGGGGCTCCTCAATGAGCTCCTCCGGCTCCTCTGCCGGACCGCCACTGGTCGTAGTCGTCGGAGCAGGAGTCAAGGCGAGACGAGGAGCAGGAGGAGGAGGAGGAGGAGGTTCCGGAGGCTCAACAGTCGGAGGAGACAGCGGGAGGCTGGACGAAAAGTAAGTCGAAGATGATAATCATTTTTATATAGAATGTCCCAGAACTCAACGTCAATTGATAGTATTGACAATGAGGCATCACGAGTTGGCCTATCTATTTTGAATAAATACGTTTCTAATACTGGTGACCCCGACATTTGGCTATTTATATCATATAAGGGGCCGTTCAAGTATTACATAAGCACTATAGGGGGGCGGGGGTATGTTGATTTGCTTATTTTGGGTTGACATGGGGGGCAGGATAGTCTGGATGATTATTACGTCATAGGTAATATTTTTATTTTTTTACATTAATTGCAAAATGTTTACGTAAGCATGGGGGTAGGGGGTAAGAGCTTTGCTTGCTTTGCTTACTTTTGCTGACAAGGGGATGGGGGGGGGGTAAATAATTGTAATAAATCTGCTTACGTAATACTTGAACGATGCCTAACCTACAAAAGCTTGCTTAGAAGTAAAAAACACTCACCATACGTTGACCACGTCCAGATTTTTCTGCAACATCTTGTTATCATTTAGCACTTTTTCACCTGAAACAAAAGGAAAACAATTGTTAAATTTAACATTAATTTTTTTTTGCATATTTAACTTTGGATTTCTAGAGTAACCATTAATAAAAATGATCTTAAACCCAGTGTTAGTGGATTCACATAATAGTTATCTTTATAAGACTACCGTAGTTGCATAATAAACCAATGTTATGGCGAAGTTGTGTTGTGAAGAACTTTTCATACTAAATATTGACAAAAGCCATGTGAATGCTGTGCAGTCAGGCGTATTTCTCAGGTTGTCAGATAGAAAACCTAACCCAGAAACCGCACAAATGTCAAAAAACGATCTTAGACAACATGGTATTTATGACTCAGCTTCATAACATACGAGAGACGTTGCAGTTTACGTGTGAAACGCCTGAATGCACAGCAAATACATGACATTTTGACAGTATGATTCAGTAGCATAATGTATGGAAGTTGGAGCGTAACATCGGACCCTTTATTTTTTTTTTCCTGTTTAATTTTTTGCAACAAGAACGCAGAGTGTCCCAGAACTCAACGTAAATTAAATAGAAAAAATGTAGGAAAAGTCACAATAAATAAATGAATACAAACATATTTAAGAAACAAAAATAAATATTTTAATAAGAACGCGGTCGTGGTCACATAAGAATGTTGAATAATTTTGTATGCAGGGTGTCCCAGAATTCAACGTGAATAAAACAGAAAAAAATGTACAATAGTCACAATAAATAAATAAATACAAATATTTTAATAAGTTAAATAATATAATAATATATGTAAATAATTTAAATAATATGATAATAAAATAAACAATAATAAACATTTTATAATAAGAACGCGGTCGTGGTCAGATATGAATGTTGAATAATTTTGAATGCAGGGTGTCCCAGAATTCAACGTCAATAAAACAGAAAAAAATGTAGAATGGTGACAACATTCAATATATAGAAAAATATTTAAAGAAGCAAAAATAAACATTTTAATAAGAACACGGTCGTGGTTAGATAAGTTCGAAACCTATTACCACATGTATTTATTTTTAATTTTTTTTAAAGGCATCAACAAGAACTAAGTTTGATAATGGGGAGATCCCATTATGTAACTGGCGGTTTGAGTGGTGAATCATTGTACCCCCATAGCATAAGATTAGCAGATGGAGAACCTCTGGAATCCATTCATAGTCTTCTACATTTGAGGGCCCCATATCAGGTAAACAAGAAATACACCAAAAATTTAAATCCATCTTAAAATATATTTCTACATTATCTTTTATCCCTTAGCACTCCGAATTAACAAGATCATCAGTACAACCACCACCTAACAAGTCAGTTTGCGACGTTCCTGTTCACTTCACGCATCATCATCAACAGCAACTATTGAATCATCATCATCACCAGCAGCAACAGATGTATAATAATGTAAGCCAATCGCAAAATTCGCCAACGAGCGGCTGTTTTTCAACTCAAAGGTCACTCACTCATCCAGCCATGTCTACGGTTATGGCAAACCAGAATTCTGGCCAAAACCATCACCCAACCAGAAGAGCTGCGAATCATTCTAATAAAAGACCGCATCAGCATATGTCTGCACCAGTCTTGTACCAGGTAAGAGAAATAGATTCATAAAATTGAATTGAATTTCGCTAACGATATAATCTCATTCTTTGAACAGCTGTAATATCTGTCTTGCCTAAAAAATTGAAGCCATACTTTTATATTTGTTTTATTTATCAAGCCCTGCACATAGCTTGATCTATGAATCATTTGCTTTTTCATGTGAACGTTAATGCAATGATCATCATCAATATTACGAGGTAATAAATTAATCATATTATTAACATCAACAAGCACTTTTATAATTTGGCCAAATATTCCAAATTGTCCATTTGCATATCGCAATCCTCTAATTTGCATGAAACACAACCTAGGTGAAATTAACCTTTCAGATACAGTATCTAGTTTAGGTAGATAATTTGGTATAGGTGGAAATACAAACCCATTAAATTTACACAAAGTGGGAATTTTGCCCGAATTTAATGCCTTTCGACAAGTTTGACATCCAACCTGATTATTTGAATCAATATTCAGAAAACCATTATTAAAAATTTGTTTTTGGGCATCATTTGATATTTTTAAGTCACTTTGAAACCAAAGTCTATCACACACAAAGCATACATAGCCATAGCTATCATTTGTAAATTGTTTTTCAAACAATTTTAGTGCATTCCTAAACAAATTGATGTCTTTACATGAAAGTTCAAATACTTCATTTGACTCTTGCAAAAGATCAGTTCTTGTCACATTATATACAGAATCATCAATTTGCAATTGACGTGATGTAGTTTCTGTATCAGAAAAAGTAACAGCAGTACTTTCATCTAAAAAGATAACAGAATAATATGTCTAAATGTTATTGGTGTTGACATTAAGATCTAAATTGATACCTCTGGCTCAAGATTTTCTAATAAATTGGGAGTAACCGATTATTTTCCTGCTGTTTTTTTGTTTGACGATGTAATCTTGATCTTTCAGAGATTGTAACAGGCTTTGTACCTGCATCAATATTTATAATTATTATTATAATAAATTAAAATTATTCTTCATAGCCACCATAAAAGAGAAACATGTAAACTTGCGTTAAATTTTCAATGAAGAAATATTGTTTCCACAATTTCACTTATCATGTAATTGTGTTTGTAGAACTTAATTATTGACTTCTTGTTTGTTTTGACTATTTCGCTGGTGATACATTTTCATTCTTTGAGCAACTGTAGTATCTGTCTTTTGTAAAAATATTTTACATTTTAGTAATAACCTCAAAGGTATATAGTAACCTCGAAAAACTCTAATAATACAAATTACTTCAATAAACTTACGCAGCGCAGATTTTTCATATGTCATCATTTGCGATCATTTGCACTACAATTATTTATGGGGGACGGGATAAAATATTCTTCCGATCCTGACATTTTTATTAACTCACAATTTATTTCTATTTAACCTTAAAAAGTTTTGACATGACACCGGAAATTTGAACAATATGCTTCGAGCTTTCGGTGACGTATGATGGGCTACGACGCACATAAGTATAAAGTCACGCATCAGAATCGACCCGTATAGAAATCATATCATTGCGAGCGAATGACTCTCACTTGACCTTGGCGTAACAAAATCCGTTGCATTTAGGATTTACACACATTTCGCGTCTAAAGAAGTTACTTGAAAAACTAAATGTGTCATCTTATCCCTTAGAGTGATCCCCATAAGTCTTCAAGCACTCAAGCTCTTCTTCAGTCATCTAGTTCCTGTTCAACATGTTCCAACAACGAGGACAATAGGTTGTCTTCGAATTCCAACTCGTCTTCACTTCAAGTATTTGGCAGCTCCTGCAGCAACAGAAGCAGCAACTGCTCCTGCTGCAGCAACAGGTGCCTAGATCAATCTACATCGACGACTACTACTCTGATTTGCCAGGAGGTACAACCAGGAACTAGTAGGTAAGATAATGATAAACTAGTGGTGTATGGCATCGTGCCTTAAGGCAAATTGCTGGAACTTCCCGTACCGTAATGAAGTATTCGAGAAATTTTAAACGTTTTCAAATATATTATTACAAATACTCTAGTAACTTTCATTATTTTTCCTACTTGTTATATCTGAGCAAATCAAATGTAAATCATAAATCAATTTATCTCCAGATCATTAACAATCGTCATTTCATTTCGAATTCAATTTCAAAAAAAATAGTGCCTAATTTGCACAAAATTGAAAAAGTGCTACCGTATAGTCACAGTCTAAACGCATTTGCAATAATTCTGTGCGACATTTTCACTTATACTGTGCCT